GTTTTTCCTCAAAAACTGAAAAAAAGCACATAAGTTAAGTTAAAAATTTAATTTTGGGATTTTGACCTCTAGAATCTTAAAGTATGCAATTTTAGACGATTTTTCGTCCAAACCGGGCCTCAATATCTTGTTTCGTTCGGAAGATATCGAGGGTCGCAGGTTTTGACTTCTACCCCCCCTAGCGCCCCCCCAAAATTTTTTGGGGGTCTGAAAATTTGGGGAAAGAAGCGCTCCAGTATTAGTAACTGATAGACGAAGTTTGAATAAGTTTTAGTGGGGGGGGCGAAAAATGTCGTTTTTGCATACGGCTCTTTGTTCATATAACCGTGGACGTAGTTAACGTAGCATTTTTTAAATTGTAAAATCACCATTTATACTTGTCGCACATTTTTTTTACATCATAAATGCTAAAGCAACAATTAATTTTTCTCCGTGTTGGGGTTGAAATGACCGACTAATCTCCCAGTACCCGGCCGGACGACCCCAGTGCCTGTGATATCGAGCGCCCCAGACCTTTCCGGCCAACTATAACTAACCTGCCCGGGGCCCGGGTCACCGCCTGCAGGGTCGGCCCCTGCTCCTGCAGCTCCTGCAGGGCCAGCTCCTGCTGGATCCCCGCCTGCAGGGCCGCCGACAACTGAGCCTGGACTACGCATGATGAAATCAATCCGCTTACTCCCAAGAAAGCAAGGAAGACCAGATTGAAAATTCTCATGCTGGAGAAGTAAATTTTCCTTTTCAAACCAAGAAGAATGGAGTCAACTGAAAAGGTAAGAAATGTTTGAATTGAGATGAGCATGTCTTGGAACTCCTCGTTATGAACATCATAAATGTGGATCAAGATGATAAAAGAAACCGGATAGCTCAGGAGCGACTGCAGGGATTAATATAGAATTACCTGTTTTTTCAGGAGACTTGAAATAATTTTTTGCGCCTAAAAAGGGAGAAAATAAAGGCAAAATTGGGCAGTTCTCAATGAAAAGAACGTAACATATGCGTCTGCTCGCTATAAAACGTGTCATTCATTCTCATAAAAAAGTAACAATATTTTAATTTGTATACTTCCTACGTTATTTTCTTACGTATTTGATGACAAGGCAATTTAATATGGTTAAGAAGAAGGAGAAGAAGAAAGTGCTGATTTTGTTTATATTTTTAGCTGATTCTTTTCTAAATGAACTGAAAAATTAGCTGAATTAAATGTAAGAAAGGGAGGCGGCTTTCTTGGCCACGCAAGATTGAAACTAAATTAATGAAAAGAACCAAACTGTACTCGGTGCCTTTTCGATGGAAACTGCCAAAACATGAATGATTGATATAGGTTAAAGTCAGCTTATGGCAGTTGACACTTCGGACTAATATTTAGGAAAATATGGATGTAAGATACAACTTACTTGGAATTCAGACAGCTAAGAAGAACTTCGACTGACTTGTATACAGCTTTCCATCCCATTTTATAAGCTGAGATTTTCAAATGAAGTTTTCCTCATCCTTGTCTCTTTAATCCCAAAAACTAAGTATGTGTCAAGGTTCGGGAAAGAGAACAAGACGTTCTAACGCAACTGCGTGGGAGGGCGTTTCTCACGGTGGCAGAAGGAAGTAATATAGGTGTCCATACTTTTTCGGGCAAATTAAACATTAAAAAATCATGGAAAAAATTCTTTTAGGCGAGGAATCGAACCTCCATCTTGGGAGATTATGCCAGGCCAGGCGCGTAGGCAATCGGCCACGCTGCGTATCTTCTATTTTACGCGGAGAAACTACTCTATTAAACCATCTACTTCATGGAAATTTTTGCGACGCTCATTTTGATGAAAAATAATATGTGTTACCGTAAAATGAAAAAAAAGAGGCGTCTTTGAGCGTTTTTCAAAATTTTAAGGTTTTCTTTAACTTTTGAAGCTTAAAAAAGCTCATTGCCATACGGCAACAACATCGAGTAATTTCTTGTTGAATATCAACATACAGGTGTGAAACAGTGATGCCAGGGCAAAACTCTTGTGCGGGACTTTTGAAAAAAAAAAGCCAAGAAAAAAAGCTTTTTTGATTCTTATAACATTACCAAATTCAAAAAGAATCTAATGATGAATTGTAATTTCTATTTTTGGACAGTGGACCTGAGAGTCATTTTTTGCTTCGTTTTTGAGCTTTTCTCATTGATCGGTATGCTTTTGAGTAGAATTTTTTCTCTCTCTTTATTTAATTATTGTAAAATAAAGAGAACAAATTAAAATAGCTTTTAAAAATATTCATTTTTGACAAACTTCATTTTCTACTTAAGTTACTTACATGACATTTTGGTAGGTAAAGGTAATTTTAGAAAATTTTACATGGTTCTTAGGAAAATTTCAAATCATTTTTGTACCACAAAATGTTACAGAATTTTAATAGATCCTAAGTATTTTTCAAAATTAATGTTCGCGCTTGCGTTTTGTTGATACTGAAGAAAAAATTACCTCCAAGCTTCCTGAACTTATGACAAGGTCGGAGCCAGTATGTTGTTGCCATATGGCATTTCACAGTTTTTGAGTCGAAAATAATATTTAAATAGTTTTTTTTTTCTCATCAGTCCAAAAAAATTTCAATCTAGATAGTGCAGGCAATCACTGTGATTTTTTTCCCATCTCTAAAGGCAAGCTAAGTCATCCAAAACATTCTTCAAAGTTTAGCTACTCGCTGTTATTCATTAAAAATGACCCCTTCAGAAAAGCAGGACTATACAGTTAATTTGGTAGTTCCAGTTTCCCCTACCTATCCTACCAAATCCACACGGGGTACCAATATGAGCATTCTTGAATTTAGCATGATTAAAAAATTACTGTTGCCGTATGGTAACGCGATGCAGTAAATGGTCCGGTGTTGTAAAAAGTATGCGTATGCTCTAGTAGCCGTAAAAATACCATAGATTTTTAAGTTCATAAAATTTAACATTTAATAAAATGTTTGTTTCGAAGCAGTTAAAGAAATTAATGACAGATTTATCTTCAATGATAACTGCACACTATCACAGATAGTTAAGTTATGAAAATTTCGGAAAATTGCGATATGCGATTAATTTTGACCAGGGTATGGTGTAGACTGTGATAAATACAGCCTTTGCCTTTGTCTTTTCATTCAAAGAGTTTTTAAGTTTAAAATGAATGATTATGAAAATTATGCTATGCTGTCATAAGCTGCAATATAATAACTGGTCAACACTAGACATGTTTCCTTTGAAATTCTGAAAAGGCTCCTGACTATTTTCTCCACGAAATACTTCAGTGGCGTGGTGTGCTTTGCGATGAATCGATTAATCTGCCATTGAAAACTAAGGATAATGATCGATTATTACCATTTATTAATACGTTCGCGATGAATACCATTATAATCAATTCTTTACTATAGCTTTAAGTGGTAAAATATCGATAGTTGATTACAACGTCTCGCTTCTGATATACTTCGTTTTCCACTATTTAAACTTCTAAAAGATTTTAAATTTCCATTTATCATTGCTTCGTATATTGCATCAAACATAGAGAAAATACCAGAGCGTTCTCTTTTCGCTTGCGCAGAGAATGGACCACTAGACGAGGTACGAATTTCAGCATTCTGATACATGTTTCTTAACCAAAATTTCACGTAAAACACGATGCACTCAACGAAAATTACCGAAATCAATACCTTACGAAGATATTTAATGATTCTTAATGCGTGAATTCAAACCACCCGCTCATGAAAACTCGATGCTCTACGTGATTCACATCGCGCGCTAGACGTTATCATGACGGTCCCGGCGATTTATAAAAATCTGGCAACCTCGATCTTGACGCTTTGGCTTAGATATAGCAAATTGCTTATAGTTTGAACAACAAATGGTGGGAAATGAACATTGCTCGATTGAGAGGCTTGCTGAAACCATTGTAGTGCGCGATTTGACTCACGTAGAGCTTTGAGTTTCTTGTGAGCGGGCAGTTCAAATTCCTCGTAACCAATGTGTAATAAAACGTTAATATCTCTGTTAAAAGTTGGTTTCAGTAATTTTCGTTGTAAGAATCGTGTTTACGTAAAATTCTGTTTAAGAAACATGCATCAGATTGCTTAAATTCGTACCTTGTCTAGTGATCCATTGCAAGTCTGATTTCACCGAACATCTATTACCCTTCAACCAGGCGCAGCATTGCGGTATTTGTTCCCATTGTGCCCACGTAGGACGGCCCCATGATGGCCCGTCCCCTGTACTAGCTGTGCGTATGTGTGTTGGAGACAAATTGGACAACATTTTTTTAAAATGTGTAAATCCTCCTTTACCCAAGAATTTGAATTCAGCTTGCGAAGGATCGATAAACAGGGCGTCCGCAACGAACACCTCAATAATCGATTATTTACCACGGTTTAAAATGGGTAAATCTCGATAACCGATCATTCGCGCTTCCCCACAGTTCCCAACATGCAAAAAATTTTATCAACGTAACACACAGAATTTCATTCTTTATTTTTTGTGATAGGAACAGAAACAAATATTATTTTTAACGGATAAAACATAGGTGCGCGTCGATAAAAAGTTAATCAACAAATTTGCAAACTATAAATATACACTTTTATATACTGACTATACAAAAAGTAGATTCAGTAGTCACACACACACAACAGGACGTGTTTCTGCTAAACGGAAGTATAGACGTGTGGGATAGATAGGGTGTGCTCGTTTTGGCCAGATAAGAAGCAATGTAAAATGGATTTTATTTTTTTAATTGATTAATTTTTTTATTCCCTTTGGGGAATAAAAAAAGTGAGATTTTACATTCTATCAAAATGGTACTAAGCGCCAAGTAAATGCGTCACTCATGAGCCGCGGGTGTGTTATGAGAGCGTTGTGGACAGGGCTCATGAGTTAAAACGGACCAAGGGAGACCGCGGCGGCGGCTTCGTCGCAGCTGACGTCACTGGCGCTTTATAATTCTCATTCATTTTAATGCTCGACCAACAAGCACACTGCTTCTTTCGAGCTCGTATCTGATTCCGTTTAGCGATTTACGTTCAACTAAAGTCCTAATGAAGTGATTTTTGAAGCTAACAATGACATCATTTCTTTATTGAAAGATTTCTGAATTGGTTGTAATTATTCAATGAAATATAAGCCAATGAGGGCGTCAAAACAAAAAGTAGTTACGTCGGGAGGACGGCGTTGTTAGGACATAAAAAGTTTGAATTTACGCGTCAAGTAGGTAGATCAAGGGATGAGTTGTGCACGGAGAAAAAAAACTCGTGCGTGGGACCCGAAGTTTAGGTCATATGGGTCTCTGAAGTTTTCAGATTGAGCATCTGAACACTTTAGGTCTAGCTGCCGAAGTTCGGATCATACATCTGAAACTTCAGTTCTTACATCTGAAGTACTTCAGATGTGAGAACCGAAGTACTTCGGATGTGAGAACCGAAGTACTTCGGATGTGAGAACCGAAGTACTTCAGATGTAAGAACTAAAGTTTCAGATGTATGATCTGAACTTCGGCAGCTAGACCTAAAGTGTTCAGATGCTCAATCTGAAAACTTCAGAGATCCATATGACCTAAACTTCGGGTCCCACGCACGAGTTTTTTTTCTCCGTGTGGTAGGTTAGCAGTAGGGAGTTAATTGAGAGAGTTACAGAGACTGGGAGAAATACCGAAGGCAGGGAAAAAGGTCAATACCCAGTTGATGAATGCAACACAATCAGATCTCGTGAGTTGACCAGGATTTGATGGAATAGCGGGTGGATTAGGGGGTGAAATACCGGTTGCAGTACTTGTAACGC